GCGGAATAGCCCATCAAAGACGACTTCCACAATCAAGTTCAAGACGCAGTGAACCGCAGTCCGAGACGAGACATTCTCTTTATTGTAGGAGACCGGAATGCACGCACTGGTCCATCAGATGAGCATACTCTGCATGTGCTTAGAAAGTTCGGCCTTGGTCAACTTTGCGGAAATGACGATTTCCTAGTCATATTTGCTGACCTTAACCGGATGGTCGTGGCCAGCACCCGTTTTCAGTACCCCAGAAAACATCTACTTACACGGCACTCAAATGACGGTGGAACGGCACATTAGATTGATTATATTCTGGTACGTGCTTGCTGGCTCTCTTCAGTGGAAGACTGCCATTCTTATCGCGGCGCACAACCTGGAAACAGGAACGGCATTGACCATACCCTTGTACGAGCCCGCTTGGAGATCCATCTGACTGCTCACTGGAAGACTCGTCTCCAGGACAAATTCAACGTCGTGCTCCTGGAACGACCTGAGAAAAAGCAGTCGTTGCTGGACGCAACCGCTTCAAACATGGCCGCAACTGACCTTGATGATTCAACTGTCGACGCACGAAGGTCCACGCTGAAAACGTCCATCAGAGAAGCAGCGCTAAAGCAGTTGGGTAAGACTCTTTGCCACAAAAGAGACTGGATCTTTGAGCGTACACTGCAGTTGTCCGCTAAGGTAAGAGATGCATGACTGACCAGTTCTCCAGAATTATGTATTCTAAGTCGCAAAACCACAGGCTCCTTCGAGAGGGACCGTAAACAACAAGAAAGGAGATTGCAGACAGCTGAGGCTGCAATCATCGCAGCGAACTTCGGAAAGCTATTTTGTCTAATCCATGTCGCAGCGGGAAAGAGGCGGATATCGGAGCCACTGTTAAGCAGCAGCACGGACTTATTCAGGGAACTGCACAGAGAACGCAAAGGTGGGTCGAACACTTCGACGGGCTGCTCAAACGCTCATCAAACCAACCTGGCTCCCAACAGGTGTCAAGCAGTTCGGAGACCTACGATGTCAATTGTGACCCACCTAGTAATACAGAAATCATCAATGCAGTCACTTCTCTGAAAAGCGTGAAGGCCCCTGGAGAAGACGGGATAACACCACAGTTATTCAAAGCTTGCTTACCAACTCTGATCGATTCGCCGCACTCTCTTTTCCACACCATGTGTGAAAGACAAGTTTTTCCAAAAGATTGGACGGCTTCAATTTTATTCCAGTTCCAAAAAAGGTAACAGATCTAGATGCAAAAATTACAGGAATATTAGCCTCAGTGATATTGTGGCCTTATTTTTTGCAGTGATACTGCTTAACCGCTTCGCAGTCGTCAGAGATACCCGCACCCACCCGAAACAAAGGGTGTTTCGCCGCGGAAGAGGTTGTGTTGAACAAATCATCACTCTCTGTAAGGTTCTGGAACATCGATACAATTTCCAACAGTCTACCACAGCGTGTTTCATTGACTTCCACGCTGTCTTTGACTCTGTCGATAGAGAATCCTTGTGGTGCATATCGCGGTCCGACGGATGCCGGAGAAGTTCATCAAACCCTTGAAGTCATACTACTCGGGAACGTGGAGAAGAATCAGTTGAGATTACCCTAAGCTCTGGAGTCAGGCAAGGTTATCGCCTATCGCCGGTGTTATTCAATTACACCGTAGATTGGATAACGCGAGAACCACGCCTCGACTATCCGGGAGTACAGCTTGACCCAGGTACATGGATTGCGGGCCTCGAGTTTGCGGATGACGTTGTTGTACTTGGAGACAATGGACAACCTCAAACCCGTTGTCAGTCGTATAAACCAGCTTGCCCATGCCACTGGGCTAGAGATCAACACATCAAAAACCAAGACATTTTGGACCAAAACGTTTGCCACGACAGGACCCCTCTCGATTAACGGTGAGTTTGTCAAATCAACCGAAGTTTTTAAGTATCTTGGCTCTACCATCAGACCAAACAGCCAGGCTAAGGATGAAATTCAACTCCGTGTAGATAGAGCTGGAAGAGCCTTCGTGTACCTCCTCGGACCATTATGGAAGCGATACGAAAAAAGCTTCAACACAGCTTCGGGCTTATCAGGCTTCCATCCACCCCATCCTCACTATGTAGTGAAAAAATGGCCGTTAGGAGTACAAGATACAAAGAAGCTCAAGATATCTGGTCATTGGTGCTTACGCCGCATCTCGAAAGTAAATTGGAGATATCGGATTTTCAATGATGAGGTTCGACGGCGCTTCTCGAACATCGACAAGCCTTCGAAAATGCTACAACGGTGGTGCCTTCAGTGTTTTGGCCATGTGCTCCGAAGGCCCGACACTCAATTCTCGAAATAGGCTGTAGCCCCCGCACCGTAACGTAGCTGGCGTTGCCGAATAGGTGGTGAACTGAAGATCTGGAGCAGTACGATCAAGGCGGACTTGGGATTAAGAGGCCTCCAATCCGTACATGGAATTCGTAACTGCGTCAACCTTGCTGTCGATCACCATATGTGGGCTGCCATCATTAGAGATATCCAAGACTCCGAATTATCCTCTTTCGTGAGTCAGTCGCTCAAAAGCAAAAAAAGTAATTAAGTGCCTCTCCGTTTTGTGGATACGTGGACGTCAAAATTGAAATGATAATAGTTTGTGACCGGCAGGGCCGAATAAACAATCACCGATTCTCTCACTTCCGAGTCAAAATCTAATTCGACACTCGTAATTTCTGGTATCTCGATGAACGAATGACTTTGAACCGATTTGTTCACCGAAAATTATGGAATTTCGGATCTATTTTGCCGTCTGTCGGATTAAACTCTGAGTAACAAGGTGGTCCACGTGAAAACCCTTCGGAAAATTTCTACCATCGGCCTGTGCATCCAAGAGACACATTACCTGCACATTTTAATGGGATCTAACGAATCACACACCGTGCGATGATACACTAGTCAGGAACGTTTAGTCGAGGTAGCAACGGCAACACAAACCCCCATTCATTGTTTGAATAATGTATGTTCCTTTCACCCCCATCTTCCTCTCCCATTGGCTTTCTAATGCATTTATCAATTCATGGTATCTAAGCCTATGCCTTAAATGAAAACTCGTGAAAATTTATTAAACAATAAAAATTTGTGCTGACATCCTACTAGCTGCTTTTGGTACGTCTTATGCACCCTAATTCATACGTTAACTCTGGCATAACGGATGCGGGAGAGCCATACGGGATGGGTTAAGCACACTTGCCTGTTCTTTGTTGAAACGATCCAAGAACGGATTCTGTGTAGAAAAAGTATCCAAGTCAATATCCAAAATGAACGGTTGATTGAGCAGTACACAGACAATATCAGTGCATAGTTTGCAAAGTGTATTTGTCTCGTGGATGGGAGCCACTGTGAGACCGAATTTGACTGAGGATGTCATATCTTCCTCCGAACAAAATACGCCATCATCATAGACGTAGGGTTCTGGAATATCCATGCTAGAGAAACAAAAAGTTCGACAGGAAGAGAGCATTTTCGTTAGAAAGGCTCGTTCAATGAGTTCTCGTCCCAATTTGCACAACCATTATATATATTTATTTATTTATTTAACACCAATCTCCACACAACCATTAAGTACGCACTTTCATGTAGGAAATTTCATTGGTTGCCTTTAGGTTGTCCCATTGACTGAACCGTCCCAAGGATGTTGCCTCTTAACGTTTTTTTTTGGGGGGGGGAGTTAAACATCTATTTTTATCCCCCAGAGAGGTCGCTTAAGCAAAACACGGGGAGGAGTAGCTTATCGATCAAAAACACCGTTAGATGGAAGTAAGCGTGGAGTTACCAGGGGCTACCTAACGGCAGGAGAATACTTCGCACTTAATTCGACAGCCGCCGACAGCCCAAGGTGAGCAGACTCCAGCCGATTAGGCGCTGTCCCGTTCGTAGTTCGCCTGCCATACTAGGTGCGTGATACTCATGGCTTAAACCGAACAGTGGTCCGAAAGCCAACGCACTGACAAACAAAACAGAAACTCAGCAGAAGACCCCCAAATAGGTGAACCGGTTACACACGCCCAGTTGGATCTACGCCCCACTGCATTGTGGGTGAGACTTAAGCCAGCGTTCCCAAAAAAGAAACCCCATCGTCGGCATGGGCATGTCGTACTCGAAAGTCTCATGTACCGCCTTGGAATACTAGTCTTCTCATGTATGGTTATATCTTCATTACTAAAAAACATAAGATAGCTCCTCGGAATACATCAATCAGGCCCTGACAAGCAAAGGAAGTAAATCAGAAGCCACTGAATTGATTCGGCTGGAATGATTTATTTTCCCCAGACGCACGCAACCCGTTTCGTGATGATTGCCGCTCATCAGCTAGGAAATCTGAAAATCTCTAATTTGTCATCCACAAACTTGACCTCTGGGTGTACGTTTTCATCACAAAGTGTAATTTCACAATCACGGTGAAACCAATTATGTGCTTCCAGGGGAATTCTATCCAGTTATTCACAGACAAATACATCTCAAGAATTGCATTCAGCCAAACGTGTCGTTGCCAGTAGTATCTAACCCGTAAGTCCTCAGCCTTGATTCACGAATGAGCTGCTTAAGAACAGTATATATCCGTTATCGCTCAAAGAGAGATAAATGAATCGAAATGCTACAGTAAACACTACCAACCAGCGCTCGTCTCTTTTCATTTTTTTATTTGCTCCTCTCTGCGATCGGAGACAGTCGGATAAAGGAGAGTGTGCCAGGGCTAGACTTACTTTGTCAACTGCTGCAGTCGACGATATTGGGTGCGCGTTAATGGACCGGCGATGTGGTATCGATTTGTAAGGGCCTCCGTGGAGATTCTAGCAAGCTAGGTTATTTTCAATGCATACCTGAGGCACTAATGATCGAGGACCACAGTCTGATATTATCAGCTCACAACAGCAAAACTTTACAGACATATAGTAATACTGGGTAGACTAATGTGGAAGATACCACGAGGTTGACTTTGAGACTGATGTTCTGGTGCCAGAGAGTACGTCGGCAATGTAGAAACGCCATTCAGGCCGTGACAATGCCTTCTTGACAAACTCGGTAGTTTACATCTTGGGCAGGATGATAGGCCCAAGTTACCTAAATATTAGGACAATTTTTATTGCTCAGTCATTCAGCAGCAGGGAACGTTCCACGAGATCATAGTTTAGAAATGGATAATACATTACGGTGTGTGCAAGTGGTCCAGTCTCTAATATCCCGCGATACTCGATAACCCGACAGATAACAGGAACAACGACCAGTTAGTTAGTCAAGGGAAAGTATATTGTTCCTTCAAAAGTATCGGAAAGTTAGCCTGACTACGCTCGAGTATTTGAAAGCAGAAAGCTTAACAAGCGGAGATGTAGCACTGAACTCATGCACCGATCGAAGTGAGCAATCTTCACCGGAGATAGTACTGACATAAACAATGATTGAAGATATAGCTAACGAAGGAACAAAAGGACATTGGTGACTGTGATGCAACCCATGCCAGAAAAGGAGACGAGTACATGAGTGAGTACTCAAAGCAACAAATGCCTGCAACTATGCTAAGGTATACATGCGACATAGGCAAACTAAAGATGATGGTAACTCTTGAGCCACCATCAGAGGACCATTAAAAAAATTTGATTTTGGTCGAGTTGATCTTTAGACTAATCTTCAAAGCCTACACTTTGACGCGGTTTAGGACCATTTGCGAAACGCTCAGGTTATTACCAAAATACTACTACGACACGCACGAGGTGAAGGTCGCTGGTCCAGTGGTCCGTGGAAATTTGAATACCACCACCTAATGATCGTTACCGAAGTTGAGCACTAGTAATAGCGGATATCTCCGCTGTACTACTGATCACAGTTCAAAGGGATGAGACTGTTTGCCATAGGTGTAGACATGAGTTTCTTCTTTGGCATTATGAAATCTTATCAGATTAACCAGGCTTAATGAGGACTCGACCAGCACCAGTTTTCCTTTTGAATAACTGGCAGTCTAGTGAGTAGAATATGCAACGAAAGTTGATGTAGTATGCAATGGTAACGCGCTGGAACATGTGTCACTTGTGTCTAGAATCATCCGAAAGATGATAATTTGACTGATACACCTTTTCTTCGGTTTGGACCGGAAACGTGAGTGCATATGCTAAAGCGAATCCGCATAAACTGAATTGACCTTCAATTGTTGAAATAATCCCACAGAA